AACAAAAAAATAATCGTTCAAATTGATTTATAATCGGCGGAGATATTGCGTATAAAAAAGTTCATCCCCAATTTTCCACCCTTGGGGGTTGTTTTTTCTAGTATTAAATTTAAATGGGACTACCCTTGAGGTATTACCTATACGCCGCAAAAAGATTTGTTCAAATCGGTTCATAATTGGCGGAGTTATCGCGTAACAAACATAGAAAAAAAAAACATACGGGTCGAATTGAGAACCTCCTCCTTTTTTTTGAAGTCGGTTGAAAATAACATACAAGTGTCGCCGTGTATAGTTTGACGTGCTGTAGTGTGTAGGTACAGTCACGGAATGAAAAGGTTCGTCAGTTTTCAAATTGATTCCTTCAACGAATCGCGAGCACATATTACCTTTTGAAACTATGTTACAGAATAATCTCGAGTTAGAGAAAATAATCTTTAACTGTTCGTCAGTAAAGTTCAAAATTATTCAGATCAAAGTTGTTTGACGATTTATCTTGTCAAGAAGATTATTATGATTGATAAACTAAAACCTTCTTGTTGGTTCAACCTGCCATTATTATTTCTTTTAAATAAAAAAACTATTGTCAATTGGTCAATGTCATCATTGCATTGCACTGATGGGATAGAAAAATAAACAAGCAAAACCTTATTCGTTAGCAAACGTCATATTTATTTATTAAATGTTAGCAGCACTGTTTCTTGCACTGTTATGTTGGCAGGTTTGACTCTCACAGTACCTAGTGCAAGCGAAAACCGACACTAAGGTGACGAACCTTTTCATTCCGCGACTGTACTATGTTATTAAATCCTTTGTTATTGTCGCTCGGTTATTGACATAACTGTTATCATGGCCTTGATAACAGATATCAATATCTATGTTGCACTGGGCGTGCAAATCTCATAATTGAATTGTATTTGTATGTACTCGTATATGTTACGGACAGGTAGTTAAAATAATTGATTCCAAGAAAATGTAATATTTATTAAAATGAAATGTTAGTAGAAAAAAATTATATCGTAAAAATCTGGAATAATTGCCATGGTTTAGTTACGCAGTTACCATCACCTAGTCTTAAATTAAGTAAAATTAATTGTTCTATAATAAAAATCTTTATGAATTAGAAAACCGCTTAAGTCAGTCCAAGCCGTATACAGGATGGAAGTACTGTAGATAGAAAATTTTACTCAAAGAAAATATTCCTTTATTTTATAAAGAAAGATAACTGCATTCAAAGATGAAATATTGAAAAATGCATTAACTAGCAAATTATTCCTTAATCCCGTAGCAATTGCAATAATTGATCTTAAATAAACACTTTTAATAACAAAGTGGAATTTCCAACCACTAAGCCTTCTAAAGAACAATACATTTAAATCACTTGCCTTAAAACAATATAGATTGTACGTAAATTAGTCACTATGAAAACAATAGTAAGTGTCAGATATCATAATATTTAGTAGAGTCAGTCGCAAACATATTTTTTATACGTAGCCGGTGTTATCGAAAATTCTAATAAGTTTATTGTTAATGAATATTTTTTAATTACGTAATAAGGCCTAAAACCTGTGTAATTAAATAAATAAAAACAAACAAACAAAATATCTTCTAATGATCTTTGGATATCCTTACGATTTATAAAAAGGTTGATTTTAAGCGTAGGTATTACTGTCATGAATGAGTTTTAAAGATTATATTCAAACACAATTTTAATTTAATACATAGCGTACATAGTTACTAAAAACTATTAAGGGTGAGTATCTATAGACTAGATAATTTCGAAATAATGTAACGTTCTTACTAATGGTAAAATACAGATAAAATGTAGGACGTTTGGTCCATGAAAGGGTGACATTGACATTGACAATAGAAAATGTCATAGAGCGGTTCATTTGTTCTGTTACAAATCCTCTATAGTATAACATTATCAAAATGGTAAACATTATCATAATTTTTTGTTGTAGATCGTACACATCACGTTTGTATTTAATTATGCGAGGCGAAATAGTATCTCAATACTCATTTACATACAACATTGATCGTGGTCACGTGTATCGCAATGAGGATATCATACGAAAACTATGCTACATTTTTTATGCATAAAATTAAAATATTGTAGGTACATATACAATAGTATTTCAATGTCTGTTACATTAATAGACTGTTGCATTCCTAATCAATCATTAAGTCTTATGTACGCTTATACAGATGCACAGTTAAAGACTTTCCCCAAGGTTGGGTTATGTCCCCCAATTTTATAGTTAAAAGATAGAGTTCCCCAATTTTAAAGTTTAAAGATACGGGACTAGTTATTCCCACCTCTCATTCTCTCTTTCTCGAAGTTAAGCCTTGATTACACGTACCGAGAAAACGGGCGAGACAGTGCTCTCGTAGTAGTAGACGTATGAACATACGCACCGAGTAGGTACGAATTAGCGAGAGCGCTGTCTCACCCGTTTTCTACGTGTGGTCATGGCTTTAAGGTTTGACTTCCCTCCATTGCAAAGCGGATGACAGGTGACAAACAAAGGTGTAATAACCTTTAAGAAAAAATATGCACCACGGACAATTAATATCAATTAAAGTTAAAAGATGTTTGATGCACTTTTGACTGATTATTTTACATGACAATATACAAAAAATATTAACGACTTTCTTAGCCGTTTGTCCTAAAATGGGACCGGAGTTACATTAAGTAGGACCTATGCCACAAAAATGATAGAACCATCAATGAACGACTACAGTATGTAGCTTAATTTCGATCGCTACTAAAGCGCCGGCGATGGCGCCACTGAGCTTACGTATAAGCACACTAACAAGGCAAGGAGAACGGAAAACGTAAAGTACGGAAATGTAAACAGTTCCTTTATTTAATGCTTAGTTGCATTTATTGCAGTAGCTGCAATTGCAACGATGAAAACCTTCCGTTTTGACATTTAATTTTAATTATTAAAAGGATAATTCAAGTTTTACGGCGTACATGGTTTTAACGACGAGATTAAAATAATAAAAACTTTTGTAATGGTTACTTCTTGATTATAAATAACTTCATCAAAGGATTTTTGTATAAATGCAACTACCTATTTGTTAAAACAAATATTTTTATTTTATTGAAATCAGTATAATTCTTTTTTAAATTATTTTTTAAAATGTGTAAAACTCATCAGAGAACAGATTTAAGCCTAAATAAATATTTATGCTCATGCTTATTGTGCATTAATATTTATATTCTATGGGCATCGAACCCGCGACCTCTATCATAGAGTCTGGTATACAATCCACTAGGCCAGACGTTCGTCTAGTCTGAATGGGCTCAATCAATGAGAGAATGTGTCAAAGTGTGTCAATAAAAATAATTACAATCTATCAATGGATATTTAATGAATCAAACAGCTGTTTGCTAGTTGCTACAAATCAATTAAGTAACTTGTTCTATTATTATACGACAACATAAATTAAGATCGTGACATAATGGTCTTAAGGTATAAAATTATCTGACATTTTATTTTCAACAAATTTTAAATTATTCGCAAATAGGTGTAATATAAATACCCCAAATGTTTTTTGGTTCTAAGAAATAGTGTTGATTTTTTACTTATGTAGATTCCGACCTTGACGACCAATTTGCGATGTTTTTAACGTGTTATATTATGCATATTACCTACTTATTGACTAAAAAAACGATTAATGAAATAAAACTTTAATTTATGAATAAAATATACCTTTGGTAGCAAACGAATATTTAAGAGCGTTTACGCGAAGCGCGGCGTTTCAAGGGGCATCATTTGAAATGATTCGCGCGCGGCGTTTTTTAATAGTTTTCAAATGTTTATAGCAAAACAATAACAATGAATTTGTGTATCGTTTCAAAGTAAATATTTTAAAGAAGATGTTATTTTATTATATTAAGCTATTTTTATTTTGAATTAAAGAAGAATAATGGTGTAAAAATCACTTTGATTTTTGGGTATTTCACGTTCTTTGAATTTGTGATTTCTTATTGTAAAATGCTTAAATCTAAAAATTTTCTTAACTAACTATTTGCCTAAGGACCTATGCTAAATGGATATTTATGTTTGTTATATCGTTTTCACAGTATTTTTTATAAAAAAATCAGCTTGTAAACTGACGTTAAAGTGGAAATTTGAAAACCTGTGTGGACTTATCTTGATAGAATTCTTAAATACTATACTAATCGAAATATTTTCTCAACTAACTATTTAGATGACGAAATTGCCTAATTATTTATGCCTATAACATATTTGTAATGTAACTGGTTAATGATTGTAACGGGGTGAAAAAGTACTGTTTTTGCGCCAAACGGCGTAAACGCTCTTAAGCGTTGTTTACTTTGGGACTAGAATGAAGACACCGAATACTTACCTATACATTGTCATATTTTAATAATCTTTTTTTATTCTATAATTAAACATATTTTCCTTCCTTTTTTGTCCTAAGCAGAATTGTGTTTTCATTAATTACAGGGAAATGAACATTTCTCAGAATGCGACAAAAATAAAATTACTTACCTACTTAAAAGGACTCTGTAGGTCCATTATAACGTTTTGAATTATTAATGGTGTACGTAATTAATATTATAACAAGTAATAGAAACAGATGAATTGCGATAGTTACGGAAAAGTATAAAATACATAATCATAAAATATTTTGTAGTGATTATAAAGTTAATCTTTACGAGGCACTCACATTGACCTAATTTTTAAGTTACCATCATAACATATTTGTCGTCAAATTGTAATAATCAAATAGTAAGTATTAATTTTCTTAAATTAAATATAATAACTAACCTAACCAAAAAAAAAAAACTATAAATCTAACCTATCTAAATTTTTAAATGCGAAAAGTTTTTAATAACATATCTAAAGATGAATATTCAAAAAAATGCGTTATAAGATGGTCTTATTTTCTTACAAAAAGACTTGTTAAAGTATCAATGTAGATAATATAACATGAGAAAAAGATATAAACAAAACAATACTCACAAAAATATCGCAACAAAACGATAGCCGGCGTTGAATGTTCACCCACCGAGTACTTATCACATTCTAACGAACACACTGAAAATCACTAATCAGTATCAGTCTACCCTAAGATTCACGAATTAACCCTTCGACTGCGACTGTTAAAAGTTCACGCAAATTCCGAATAAAAGTTTGCTTTTTTGCCGCGTATTTTTCGATCGATCCAATCGATTCACGAGTGTCGCGCTCACGCGTAGTGGAATGAATACAAACACTCGCGATGTGGAGGTCGTATTTGTATAAATAGCCGACTGCGCTAAGCCAAGTAATATAACACTTCGAGTGCGTGCATGGCTTTAATGTTTATCGGAAGATTTTGTTTGGTTTTGTCGGGATATGTGGTGATAAATCTCAGGTTGATGGATAGATGGCATGTTTATTAACTTAACAATACTATTTTTAAAGATTTTTTATAACTTTTTGGACGTAATAATAAACACTGAAAGAGATAATACACCTTTATCTCAAAATAAAGAAGAACAAGTTTCAAGAAATCATATGAAATTGTTTGGTAATTATTTAGTTTGTTTCAGAAGACAGTTGTAGTGATAGTATTTTTTTTTATTGAATCAGGTACAAATCATGACCACTCAAGGAACAAAGTTTGCCTAGTTTATGTGTTCGAATGTTTCGTTAATCAGAAACTAGAATGTTGGCCTTTCATACCCCAATAGGCATTGGAGTGTTACCTCGTAAGTATTAATATCACTGTCGCTAGTGTGTCACACGCAGCGTGTAAATGTTTTGTTTACTTTCTGAATGGTTTGCAAAAATAGCATCACTATGGACATAGTTATCTTTAGTATTACTTTAATCACTTATTAAGGTTAAAGGTAGTTTTTTTTATTAATCGTAATTAAATATTTGGCGGGAACGCAACGCTTAGTCGCAAGAGAGTTGTAGGTACAGACATCAGCACATCAAGTAAAACATTTTATGCAGTTGCAATTGGAGCTACTTTGTAACAAAACTATACAGTGTGAGTCACGTTAAAGTGTACATATGAAAATAGATGAAAATAGACCTATTTTTATCGACAAAAAAGAGGTCTAAAATTTTTTGAGATTTTTTTTTAATTTTTTATAGAATTTTTTTTCCTCCAATTACTTATTGTAAAGAAAACATAATAACTTTTAAACTAAGCGGTATATCCTGATAAAATATAATCCTAAATAACAGGCAATACCAAAAAATTACATAAAATACACAAAAAATGCCAACAAATAATAAAAAATGATACTTTTTGAAAAAAATCTGCTTTGAAATTCGTGTTTTTTTGGTTATTTGATAAATTTCTTCAAAAAATGCCCCTATAACAGGTGGTTTTTATTACTTTGTATTATTCTCTATCGTATTATCTTTGTAAAACCAAAAATCACATGTCTCTATCCCTATCACAACATTTGCTATGATCGTTTGAACAAAGGCCTGCCACAACATTATTCTCCGCAACAGATAGAGACAATTTTAATTTTAACTAAAATGCTTATTTTACTTCGAAATCTTTTGTTTTTATTTGAAATCTAACTTGTTTTTATCAAAATTACAAATCTAGAGCCATTTTCAGTTTCGTTGTTAACGAAGCCTTGAATGGCGCGCCCGGAGAGGCTTAGTTCAAATGATCATTGCAAACGTTGTGATAGGGATAGAGACATACGATTTTTGATTTTACGAAGGTAATACGATAGAGAATAATACAAAGTAATAAAAACCACCGGTTATAGGGGCATTTTTTGGAGAAAGTTATCAAATAACCAAAAAAACACGAATTTAAAAGCAGATTTTTTTCAAAAAGTATCATTTTTTATTATTTGTTTGCCTTTTTTGTGTATTTTATGTATTTTGTTAGTATCGCCTGTTATTTAGCATTATGACTGTTTTTATTTTATCTGGATATACCGCTTCGTTTAAAAGTTATTACGTTTTCTTTACAATAAGTAATTGGAAGAAAAAAAATTCTATAAAAAAATTTAAAAAAATCTCATAAATTTTTTGACCTCTTTTTTGTCGATAAAAATAGGTCTAGTTTGATCTATTTTTATATGTACACTTTAACGTGACTCACACTGTATAGTTTGCTATGCTGTTGTAGCTCAGGGGTCTCCAAACTTTGAAGCCTTGGGGCCATAATGTTTTTTCGGTATGTTTCAAGGGCCACAACAATTTTAGTTTTTCTGCCCACCTATGCAAACATAGGCTTAGTCTTAAGATGTCGCTGGCTGGATTGATGGCACTGGTGGGCCGGATTTGGCCCGCGGGCCGTAGTTTGGAGACCCCTGCTGTAGATGAACATCTATTAAAAACTATAATACCTAGTTTCCTGAGAATAGCACCTTTTTTTGGGAGGGTTATGTTTTTTTTTACAAATTTTACTACTACCAGTAGTTTAGTGTTAGGTGGCATTCTAATGTATTATTATTATCTGTTGCTACGTGTTTACATTCAGATTGTGATAAGACCGTATTACAATATTCTCGATAGATCTCATCACTAAACGTCTCAATGATGGACATGTTATGTAAGGTTTGGGTTTCATTGTGTTTGTTTGGCACGACCCCACCGATTTGACCCTTGTCTATGAACGAATTGGGTGGTCGTATTTTTCAGAGATGTTTGTTTTTCTTTTAAGAAAATTGGACATTGGTACAGCAATTAAAAGAATCTCTGAATTGAGATAGAACAAACCTCGCACCACAGGATCACAGTAACGTTTTAATTGCATTAACATTACGAAGCCACGATTGCGAACGAAGATACGAGGTTCGATCTAATATAAATTCACATCTAAATTCAGATTCAGTAACTAAATTGACATAGTATATAATTCTGGAAATACACATCCACAGCATGAATGTAATATGTTACGATACGTTAGATCATACTATAATAAAAATAATAATCATTATAATTTTAGCCACAGAACGCTCACTGCTGAACATTGGCCTCCTCCAATGATTTCCATAACGCGCGGTTGGTAGCGGCCTGCATTCAGCGCCTTCCTGCTACCTTTATGAGGTCGTACAAAATGCTACTATAATAATATAGAAAAATATTTCATAACACTGATCTCGGTGTATTAACGCGATCTTCGGCATTGAAAGATGTTTTCTATATTATGTACAGTTTAAGTATTCAAAGGCGGTAATCGATCCTGTTATTCGATACCGCTAAGCCATATCGAACGCCTTTGGGGTTTACACACTCTGATACGTACTAAAGTCCTTAAGGAAACCGCAGTAAAGCCATTGATAATGTTGACTTTATGTAAAAAAAAACAATATTATAATAACCACTTAGTTTCCAGTAAAAAAGAAACAAAAAAAAATATTTTTTCCCTTTTTTTAGTCCCCTACCATCTTTTCGGTAATTTCTGGTTGCATACGCAGTCAAAGGGTTAAGCTTTTAGATACCATCAAAGGTTTTTTTAAATGCATGTTGTACTTTTTGAAAATATGCGTACTTACTAGGTCTAAAGTCTTCTTCGATCCCAAAACAGTTATAAGTTTTTGTTTTTGCTCTTTAATTTATTTTTGAGTAAATTATTTATGTAAATTTTATGATCTTCGATGTTTTATTTTGGTCCCCACAAGTGTTTTTTTGGCACTGGAGAGAATATTTAATGTGAATCGCAAATTAGTGGTAGCTGTCGTAAATTAGTTACTCATCGATGATTTGCCGCGGTGAATGAAAACTTAGTTAGCTAGGAGTTGCGGGATCGGTATAAGTAAAAAATAAGTAGGTAAATTATATTTTTTCTGATTATTTCATAACGGTACCCTTTGTTTCATACTAATAGGTAATCATTGTATATTAAAATTTGCTTACTTTGAAATCCTAATTAAACCCAAATGCTCAAATTCTATTTTTAGTACCAAATAAATATTTTTTATTTCTTTCTTTCAAATTCCATAAAGATAAGAAGGTAATGTCTAACTTACCATTATTATTAGCACTATGCAGTGAAGTGACAACGAAACCTATTTCGTCAATGGTTACCGCATTACCAATAGAGCAATAGTCAATACAACTTTGACTAGGCTCTGATTTCACTACACACTGTATAAAATTACAGTACAGTCAACAACAAAAATTAGGTAAAAAATAATTGTTAGTAATTTTTATTGGATTCTAGGAAATTAAAATTAGGTCGGTAATATTTTGATATTTACTTTTACAAGATATTTAAGTGTCAATTAAACACAATAGAATTAGAAACTGGTCGCAAATAACGCTTAATTAAAAACAAAAACAGTTATAGCCGTTGTCACTTACCTTGTCAAACTTACTAAATACCTTCAGAGTATTCTCAGCATTTTAGTGATATAGCAAGGGATCCCTTGTTAGGTCAAGCTTGCCATTCAATCTATTTTAACCCTACCCTTTTCAACCTCTAGGATTTTGATTAAGAACTGTCTCAGCAAATGCTTTTTAAAAGAAGTAATTTGCTTGGAGACTTAAAAGTCTAACTAACTTCTATTGCTGTCAAAGATAAAGATTTGTTTTATTTCTATAGTAAAGAAAAAGGAGGCGATGCTTTTGAAAAAAAAAGACGTTAAATAAAGGCATGATGTACAGCAATACCAAAGCTAGTTTATGAATAAGACTTTTTTTTTAATTTTTATAAGTGCCACTTGTGGTCTAAACTGAATAAATAATTTTGATTTTAGATTTTTTTTTATTCATTTCAGTTCCTGATGTTACGAGTATGATTCCCTTTAATACTGTTCTCATTAAGCATCATTACATTAATTTATCCTTTTGTAGTTCCAGTAATATAATCTTTTATAGTTAATGTGTACAGACAACAGCATTAGACAGTTTTGTTGCAAAGGCGCCCCTATCACAACTGTATAAGATGTGACAGTGTTTAGTTTGACGTGACGTCGACTGTAGAAACTCTCGACTACGATGCGCACGATTATTTTTCCGAAGTATCTAACAGGAAAAAGATTTCAGAGAAGTTTCGATTCCTGTTAATTTGATTGTTATCTTTCTAAAACGTCTTATGGTCTGGATTAGCTATAACTTATTAGAAAAAATAAGGTATCATTGGTTACAATATTGGCTAGAATCAAAAATACACACGTTTGAAATATTCGGAAATAGGGTAGTTTTCATTTACTTAACGAACTTTTGTTTCGCCATACATACTATGATATCCATGATAAATAGCAAAAATTCTTGAAATTCGTCAAAGTCGTATTTTTGAACTTATCGAAAA